TCCATAGACCCTCCCTGCATCGGAGAAACGACTAAAACTGTAATACTCTAAATCAGGGGTCTCGAACCGGTTCCAGAAAGGGCCATGTGGCTGCAGGTGTTACTTCCAACAGTTCCAAACTCAGCAGGAGCACAGATGACTCCACCCATTTCCTCAGGTGAGTCCAGTCTATATTGTATATATTAACGGACGTAGTCACGCCTATCTCAGCCGTTCTAACTAATGGGCCAAAAATTGGGCTCTCATGGAGTGATTCAAAATGGCCGCGGGGGCTGGAAAATGTGAAAAAACGCATCTGCGCATGCGTCAGCCGACGCAAGCTTCATTCATTTAAACGAGTGACTGAAAATTCACAGCGACTAAACTAGAGTGGTCCAAAAAATATTCACCTCCCTCAGCATTGACACACATGTGGAACGGAGCTTTGGGCCGAGAGCCAACTTTTGGACCATCCTGTAAATGTGTTTGAGAGGAAAGAAGATGCTATATGTTAGCATTGGCTAATTCTTATTCCGGGTCCAATCCCATCGGCCCGGGGTGGTATTGCAAGCATGTCAGCGCACGTCATTTTGGCCACTTTTGAGCCGGGACCCGCCCCCACTGGTTTTAACCTGAAGATTTGAGAAAATGGGTGGAGTCATCTGTGCTCCTGCTCAGTTTGGAACTGTTGGAAGTAAAACCTGCAGCCACAAGGCCGTTTCTGGAACCGGTTTAAGACCCCTGCTCTAAATCATAGATAGACACTTTATTGATCCCCGTAGGAGAAATTCAGGTGTCCAGTAGCAGCAAACTGTTTCAGAGCTTCTTAGGACATGATGCCGTTTCCAACACATTCAAAAGTGAACCATATTCATATAATGTAATGAATTTTCAAAAATATTAAATACTAATCTGAAGTAAAAAGCTTCATAATACATACTTTGAATTTACAAATTCCACGTTATTAGCATTTTTAAAATAATATGTAATGTATTGTCATATTTTTCCACAAAACGGTTCACCAACCACAAGGGCTGCATCATTTAAAAAAAGCCTCACCTGTCCATTCATGCTAGGACGTCAAAACGATTAGACTCCAACTGAAGCAATCCTCTGTGACTAAGACATTCCACTGATACAGACGTACAAGATTGTGAACCGCCTCTGCCTCACCTTTACACATTTAATGAGCTTTAATACGTCTAAAGACTATAAATTAAATCAGGACGTAAACAAACAAAGCCTGCTATAAAAAAAAAAAACAATGTAAATCTTTGGATCATATTTTGAATCTGAAGTACTTCAGTACTAAGCCCCTCACTGATCCTCCTGCAGGTGGTGAGTCCACAGGAGCCTTGATCTTCCAGCGGGGGCTTCAGGCAAAGTGGGGTTAAGTGTCTTGCCCAAGGACACAACGATTTAAAGGATCTCTTATTTTATTTGTGGGACCAGCAAAAAAAGACTTCTTTTCTGGTATAGGTCTGGTCGAGTCTTTGTGACTGATTCAGTCCTAGTTTTGTACTGGTCTAAGCATTTAATTTTTCACAATAATTTAACAGATGTTATAAAATTGTAATCGATGTAGTCTTAATGGTGTTTGATAAATTTTCTATCCACCTAACTCTGTTAAAAGTGTTGTACAAGTATCAACCCCAGACCACATGACCATCCAAAAGATTTGGCTCTTGTGAAAAATAAGTTAAACAGCCCTGGTATAGCCCATGACAACACTGATCCTCACATTTCACAACAGTTTCGTCAATGACCAGAGTGATGCAGTGCAGATGAGAGATGGGGCACTCCTGGACACAGCGCCGCTTAAAAAAAAAAAAAATTACAAAAATTTACACTGTGTAGTTTTTACTCCTATCTAGAAGAAGTAAACTGTTTACTACTACCACCAGCACTACAGAAGCCTTCGAGGACCGTCGTGTTTGACAGTGGTCACCCAGCCCCCGATCATTCAACAGGCCTCTATGGAAAGAATCCTTTAGTTTGATAAAGGACCGGATCTCTCCGTACACTACCATGCCACAAATGTGCCTTCACACACGTGTGCGGAGGCGGACAGGTAAACAAAGCCCGCGTTGTAAAGCGGAACGCACGGCACAGAAGCTCTACGGGTGTTTTACCATGGATCTATTATAATAAATAGTATTACAAACGCAGTGTGAAGAGAAGAGACGCGAAGAGAGGAGACCAAGACATCGCCTTGGACACCGCCACGGCAGAACTGCGGCTAAAAGCTCAGATTATCATTAGCCTTCACCAGGCGCTGTTTCCGCATCACGGTAAGAAAACAACATTCATTCACGCTCTTGATAAAGTATTCTGGTGATTGTTTTCCGGGGATTCTGTGTTTGCATTTTGGGGCTTGTCCCCTGAGTAAGTTTAGTTGAGTTCTGAGACCCATGTTGCAGATTCTGGCTCAGTGTGAAGAAAGTTACATATTGTTCACGTGTGCACATGCTGTGCATTGTGCCTCCTGCCTTTCGGTGGGTGTGGTTTGCGAAGTTGACCCTTTGCCGTTATGACGCTGGTTCTAGATTTTTGCATATTTATTTTTCTAAAAGATTGTTTGGGTAGTTCTTTTACGTAACTGTGGTCCTCCATGGTTCTTACGTCAAACTTGTGAGGGCAGGGTGGATAAAGGACCGGATCGCTCCGTGCACTACCATGCCACAAATGTGGGTTAGGGTTTAGCGATTCTCGCATCCATTTTGTCGCATTGACATGGAGAGTCCTCAGCTCTCATGGACATTTATAAGTCAATTTCTAAGCCAATGAAAACAATTAAAAAACATTTGGAGCAAATGCAAAAATTACACTGAGTACCTTTAAGCTGCATTCTAACTGCTGCGCGTCCATCTGAATTTCAGCTGCATGAGTTTAGAGAATCTGTCGCACTGCCCTGTTCTGACTGACTTTTGTTCTCGCGACCACTTTGCTGCCATCTCATTGGTTGCCGCACGTGCGTCCGGCTAAAAAAAGTTTGCCGGATGTGTCGAGTTGCTGTAACCACTGCCTCTGCTGCGCCACAACGTGTCTGCCATGCCGGATAAACTTGCGTGCCGCAATGCTGTATGCAAATATTTTCACAAATGTGGGTCACCATTGACACAGCATTGAAACTTGACGCAACTTGCACATGTCCAGTCTGTCTGAACGCCCCTTTTTAGAGCCAATGTAACCCTGCTGTCTGATGAGCAGTGCCCATGTGGTGTGAGTATATGCAAGTGTGCGAGCCCGTATTTGTATCTGTGTGTGGGGTAAGCTGGCCTGGGGTGTAAAGCTGCTTTACAATGACTCAGTGTAATCACCAGACTGCATCCTAAAGATGTTATCTCTTTAACGTCCTAGATTTGCAGACAGGGTTCAGTGGCATTATTTTAAAGTAATTTATATCTTGGCCTATCCGTTTGCATTGTAAGTGTTATAACATATGCATATTAATAATTATATATATATATATATATATATATATATATATTTATGCATGTTATATCAATTCATGCAAAATTACAAGATTAGACTTTTAAAGAAATCAACAACAATCCACGTGGAGACATCAGCACCACAGGGTGCCCTGTCCTGACCATGAGGGTATTAGAAAATTGGGGCAAAGGCAATCTCTTTCCTACACAACATGATGAATGACAACCTAGAGAAGCAAAGTCCTATCAATTAAGTAACAACTCAGAGGAAACGCAAAAGTCTTGAAGGATTCTGGAAACACAGTATTGCCCTGGCATCTTTCTCCCACAGGTTTTTCACATTATATAGACTGACAGCATGGACCTGCACAGCCAATCACAGACAGTCTTTAATCCTCTCCTTCAATGAAATTAAAGTACAGGCCAGTCTTGGCACAAAATTTTACTCCCCGCCCCCTGTTTAAAATTTTCTATTTTTACAAATTGATGTGGCACAGAAATGTTGCTTAGTGTTAAGCGGCAACAGGAGCTGTGCCCTTGGCTCCTCCTTGTGGCAGTCACTAGGCTAGTAGGATCCTCATCATCGCCATCATAATAAACACAAACCTTATAGTTCAAATGACTAAACAGACACAGTTAGGTGGATGTCGTTAATCTAATTTAACTGAAGACACAAATCAGCTTATGTTCTTGGATCAGTCTTTAAGCATTACTCCCAGCCACATGAAAAACAGCATTTGTATTACTGTCACCAAAAAACACACTTATATGTGTGGATCTGCTCCAATTTTGATCTCTTAATAAAAATCTCTGCCATTATGATTGTTGAGAAAAAGACAGGATGTTGCAGTGAACCAAATAATAACATTGAGCAAATATTACATACACATTTTTGTTTTTTCCTAAAAGACGCAATGTTGTTCTCATATTAGAAGTGGGAAAAACGTATCTATTCTGACTGAATAGGTAGAATAGTAAAGTGAATAGTTTATCTGTTAATATTGCACTTATAACTTTCTAATCAACAGAACAATAAATACGTTTTTCCTATAATGGTGTTAGACACATACTGAAAACAGATTACCAAGATTTATTCTGAGGTTTTTCAGTAATCAGACCAGGAGACTGTTAATAGCATACCTATAGCATACCTTTCAATGACAGTATGTTAGAGACAAAATAAAAGGCATGTGCAGGCACATATCCCACCAACTCTGTCATCTATTGAAAATGTCTTGCAAAGTTGAGTCGATAGGAGGAATGCAAATGCAACACCAAAAGCACAACAGTAAAGGCACATGGTGTACTGTCAAGACCTAGGGATATAATGCGAGCATGCAATGGCTCAAATAGTGGGTTTATGGCAATGCAATGTAGTTTTGGAGCAGCCATCATCATAAAGTGCATTTGAACAAAAGAAACAATTATGACTTAGTAAATATTGTGAGGTTGTGAAGTAATGTAAAAGATTGTGACCAGTATCATTGCAGTTTCCTGTTGTCAGAGCAGTGAATGGACTGTTAGCAGCTGTTAATCTGCACTAAACATCAAAACAGCAGCGACCCCAAACCTTAAACCACTACTTACCTGAGTGAAACTTGAAGACATTGATCCCTGGATCTAGAGTCATGCCCATGGCAGACCTGCCCGGGGGTGTACCAGGAATACAACCGGGGTCTCGGGGTCTCCTCACAGCGCTGCTCCGGCTGCCCTTCCCCTGGTGGGGCTGAGAGGTGTGGGGCTGCGGAGGCTGGAGCCCAGAGGTGCTCTCGCCGACCCGGCCTACCTGCTGCCCCATCACGACAGATAATGTGATCAACAATGTATAGCTCCCCGGTGTGCTTTGGCTTCACATTACTCCGAGTACAGCGGCCTGGTTGTCTCTCCGAGGATCCCCTCCCCAGCCTCTGCCCAGGGCTAGCGCTGCTACCTCGTTAGCCTATTAGCCTGTTAGCACTGCAGAGTGAAACCCACCCACTCCTCCTTGACAATAAAAGCTCAAAGTTGGCGCAGGACTCTTGTTGATCCAGTTTGTATAACCACGACGCTGATCGGCAGGTTCGGGACAGTGCCACGGAAATCCTGTACCCAGAAAAGTGAAGATTTCAGTGAGGTTTTGGCGTTGTCCGGCCACTCCGCGCCCCCTCTGCCGCCGCCATCTTTACCGCAGAGCAGAGAAGTGTGGGCTCCACAGCCCCCCCTGCGCCCAAGCACATGGATCTGTCTACACAAGGACCAACAATCATAATACATAGATTTGCTATATCTATATAAGCTATCATTTATTGTTTGGAAAAGGGGAAACGCTTTTAGTTAGGCAAAAAAAGTATGCATTTAGATTTTTAGTTTAATATTTCAAATAATTTAAAGACACCCTTAAATATAAGCTAATACAGATCAATGTTCAAACTCTGATGAGGCATGTTTAATCCAATTCTGCAGACATTTGCATAAGCTTTTTCTGATTTACGGTATGACCATGGATTTATCTATTATACGATCTGGACATTTAAGTATACACTGCCACCATGTGGTCGTTTTTCGTTTTGACTTTCAACAATTCACCTGAAAGCCAATCATCCCTAACTTTTCTGAGTACCGTATAATGTATACATGTAATTGAAGATGTATTGTAGCAATTGGAGTGGTGCCATTTGACTTTCAAGCTTCCCCGTAAGTAATTAAGGCAAAACAGTTCCACTTTAGTTTCCTTATACTGTATGTGTTTATACAATTTAATCTAACTTAATATTAAATGTTGTAATGATTTCCCCTTAGAGTGGTCGATCAGTGTATGAGCTTCATCTTGACAGTTCTTTAGCTTTTGTTGATATTCACAGGTGACAATGTTATCACTGGAACACAGCCTACTGAGTAGTTTGATAGCTGGACCTTCCCATGGTGTTTATATTGGAGTAAAACATTTAATTGAATGTTGCATTTTCAACTGGAAATTGTATCAAAGGATGAACAAAGTCATTTTCCCCATGTTGATAAACAAGAAAGCAGTGTTTTGAGGTGTAGCCTTTGTTCCCCACAAACATTTCCACATTTGATCACATCCCAAGTTTTGGTGGTGACTAATTTTACACCAGTAGCTCATTACTGCAGATGTAATATTGAGCTAAAGCGGTGTTATAATGGAAGCAAAATGAGATTACAATGCTGGAGAATAATTAGCATATTATTATAGAACAGAATCCTAAAGAATAAAACAAAAATTGCAGAACAAACTATGTGGTTATATTATCAACAAAACAGCTTTGTGTGTGTAGATGACAAAGGGCAACTATAATGGTGTAAATGTTGTGATTATGTCCACTTTAAATACAGAAGTCTCAACATTATGGTATTGAACCAAATCAAAGACTCAGAGAAAGCTTCTCCATTTACATTTTTAAGTATTATAAGCAACAAAAACAAATACATAAAAAACAAGAACTTTGTACAAAATTATATCTGTATTTTCGGTTAGTTTCCTTCCATGAGGTCATTTTCATTTTCTGTGCATTTCATGAAACTACCATGTACAAATTTGAGAGGCTGGTTGGAGTTTACTCAAGAACCATCAGGGGTACCTCTCACACAGCTCCATGATCGTGGCTTTAATAACTCAAAGAAGGAGGGCTGAGAGAAAACAATTGTTTGTGTAAGTGATTATGACAATTCAGATGATGTACATAACAAAAACTGACCTCTTTCAATGGGCAATAACTCTGGGCATACCATTCCTGAGAGTAAAGACAGATAATTACACCCTGGCCCAGGAACAGCGATGTCCACATGATGATGTTCCAGATGGGCCCTTTTCTTTGGTCATTAAGAATAAAATTAAACATCACTATAAGAAATCAAAAGAAAAGAATATTGTGAGTATTCCATTATATAAAATACAATACATTTTAGGATGATTATATTGTTTTGCTTGTTCTTTGACTTACTTCCAAAGCACATGAAAAGGCAAAAAAGTACCGGATAGAAGAACCCAAAGCAGACCGCGAGGATGTACTCGTGGACCACAGCAGATACTGTGAAGACAAAAAGCATGGCTCCTGCTCGAAAACGTTTCCGTGACATCTACAAAAGGAAAAAGAAAAGAAAAAAGGCACACACAAAAGGTAAAAAAAACGGGATACATTCTGTGTTTTGGGGGTTAATTGTGTTTACAAGCACTACAGTATAGTAGTAAGAGGGCGATTTAGTTCAAGACTTGTCCAATGTGCAGATGATCCAAAGTGTAAAACAATAATGACTGGATTCCGGCTGTTCTGAAATATTCGTAATGATTCACATTTGACAAATCTGAAGTTATTGGTAAGGCAAAACAAGTCGATCACACTATGGCTACTTTGGGTTAGCTAGGAGGAGGGCAATATAAAGACAGAGGGGCGCAATGACCAATACCATGCCTGCACGCTGCACTCATTCTGCTCTTCCAATTAACTTCAGACAGTGAGAGTAAAAAAAAAAAATCACTAGGGGGCATATTAAATATTAAAGGTGCATTAGCGGTTTCCACTACTCACCCACAGAAGGTCACGATATATGTAGTAGTAGAGCCAGTCATGGACTACCACATTCCAAGTGCGGTAGTAATTGGCAAAAGAGGTCGAATTCCACCAGTCCTAGAACAGAGAAAAGCGATTCTGTAAAGTCTTGAAATTACATGAACATAGTAAAAATATCAAAGCACCTTATAAAACATTCTGTCAGCAAAACAAAGCATTTCAGCAAACGCATTTAGCCAACAATGAAGGAAGGCAAAGAATCCTAAGAACAGAACCAGTACCCCTGAAAAAAGATGAAAACAAGAGGGTTATTTTACTTAATAGAAAAAAAACACAAAAAAAAATAAAACCTATCCAGATAAAAATACCTGGAAGTATTGAGTTGAAGACACAAAGAACCATGGCTCGAAGATCAAAGAACTGCAAACTGATGCTGCGAAATTGTGGGATACACAGCCGTACAAAGACATAATAGGCGTAAAACAGACTGCCTAGAACCTGTAGAAAAACACAACATTATATTACTCAACTTTTACACCAGGAGTTTTACCCTATACCTGAAGAAACTTTGTGGCCACGTAGCCCCATCTTGTCACCGGATTCCTACAAAGAAATATGATTGGATATCAAAAATACTTGTTGGTTGTATTCTCAGAGACATCAACATGAATGTAAAAGTTATATTTACCTGGGATACTTGTCTCGATAGATTAGAGTAGGTGCAAATAAGAAGTAAAGGTAGTGAGAAACCTGCGGGACCTGGTTGTTGGGTCCTAAACAAAATAAAACACATTTTTAATTCCTGGTAGTAAGTATTCAGTTTAATAGTTACATAAAAGTACATACTCCCTTTATCTTTGGTCCAAGCTAACACTTTCGGTACATTCTCTCGAACAAAAGAATGGACTTTCATAATCAAGCGGATCTGCGAATCAAATTATAGAAGATAAAAATACGTTGTTGTTCTAAGAAATACTGGTTAAAAGTCAGCTACCTGTTCTAATATGATGATGAAGCGCGAAGCTGGTGGCAAACCATTGATTACAACAACATAAGACGGTAGAAGTCCAAGACCTAAAACCTGGTACAGCAAATACAAAGAAGCATACAGTCCAGTATAGAGTGTCTGGTAAGAACCGGCCCGACTCTGGGACCAAAAGTAGAACAGGGAGTACGGCACCACAAGAACGGACAAGAACATGCAAATCCATGTGGAGACCACCAAAGGAAACTGCCCAAATGCATACACAAGCAGGTCAAAATCCAGAACCAATCTATAGGAAGACAATGGAACAAACACTCAGAACACAACATTACTTTGAAACTAGAAACCTGGGATGAAAAATAAATTCAGTCTACCACACCTGCCTTCGTCTAAGAAGTCCACTACTAAAGTACTGAGGATGAAGAGGATGAGCAGAGCAATGAACATGTGGTAAATCGTCCTAATGTGGTTCACCTCAAACAATTCGCTGAAACACAAATAGAACTAAAATCAACAAAAAGGACACATTTTATGTTTTAAAATGTCGTTAAATTGAAATGTCAAAATGTGATATGCAGCATGTTTGGAGGGGTTCAGCACTGTCACCATAGAGATGTTATTTTCTTATTTCTGGAATAATTGGCAGTACGGTATTGAACTTGTCAGTTTGGCATCTTGAAAAAGGAGGCATATAATGCTAAATCAACATTTCAATCTTTTAACCATGTCACATTGTTCCTTCACCAAAACAGACCTGTGGTCGTTTTAGTTCCATACACATTATTATCAGGAACTTTTGGCATAAACATGTAACCCTTCTGTCTAAAAGCTCCTGGCACATGCCATGTTCATACGATCTCAGAAACTCAGAACTTCCCACTCGGATACATGCTCAACTTGGAAATCCCAGGCTAAATCAATGGCCTCAGTTCCTTAGTTTGCATCACTTTGATATGTGTCACACGGACTGTTTTAATTTGCAAAATAAAACATTGAACCAAAGATCAATTCTAATTTACAGTTTGTGAATGTAAAAATAAACTAGTTATGGCAATTTCTCAAGTTACATGATGTTCTTTACAATAACATTCTGTGTTTGCTCCACCAGAGAGAGGAGTTGAAAATGTGTGAAAATTACTGGCTGCAAAGGGAGCTGGGAAACATTTTTTACCCTTCATATCATTTCACCATAAGATTTCCACTTAATTATTTCACCTTCCAAAATATGAAATACAAGGTCGTCATTATCGCCTTTAAGGCCAAAAATAATGGTCACAACATGAAAAGCTTTTGCTCGTTTTCCCATGATTTAACTGGTTATGATTTCTTGAGACAATCAGAACCAATGGAGATCAGCAGAGTGACACAGTGCACCTTTAAAAAGGTACACAGAGTAGTTTTTACACATCTAGAGTTGAGATCTTATATTGCAGTCCAGGGTACTACAGAAGCCTTTGATGGACAATATGTCATCTTTCAGTACTCCCCAACTCACAGTCATTCACCGGGGCCAAGGAAAGAATCCTTTAGTTTGATAAATGTTCACATATTCACTTACACTGGTAATATATTGGAATAGTATTCTGCCGATTGTTTTGTGGGGATTATGTGTGTTTTGCTTATTTGAGATTTGTGCCTGAATAAGTTTAGTTTAAATTTGTGACATAGTAGTTGGACAGAACATCCTGAGACTGTTGCAGATTCTGCCTCGTTCATTATTGTAAGTGTGAAGAAAGTTATGTATTGTTCACGTGTGAGTCTGTTGTGTACAAACTACACAATGTGCCTCCTGTGTTAACTCTGCCTTTCGGCACGTGTGGTTTCCAATGTTGACACGTTTGCTGTTATAACGCCGGTTTCTAGATTTTTGCATAATTATTTTTCTAAAAGATTCTTGTTTGGGTAGTTCTTTTACACAACTGTGGTCCTCCACGATCCCGTCTTCAAACTTGTGAGGGCACGGTGAAAGCAACGATATCAGTAGCTCCTGTGAAACGAAAATGCAATTCTCGCATCCTTTTTGTCACTTATCCACCACTGTTTTTCAAGATGGTGCATTGACACCAAGAGGACCCTCTCGTGGACATTTATAAGTCAAATTCTAAGCCTATGAAAACAATAAAAAAACATGGTAAATATTCTTAAAAAGGTCACATTTGTTATTAGCCTGGCCTTAGCCATCCACACACTCCGTTCAATTATCATTTCCCTGCATGTAACGTCTGGGTCTGGTCCCTGTGTCTGCGATTACAATCGGTTAAATTTTGACCGATCATTCAGAGAGCGCGGAAGGAGAGTGTTGTAGTTAGATGTGGGTGATGTCAAGAGTTTGCGTTGTGGTTTGGCAATGGCAAAAAATGCGATAGTAAAGTAATCCGGTCTGGTTCTATCAAGAAATTGAAGCCGGAGCAAGAGGAATGTTTTAATCGCTGGAAAAATTGTGGCGCTACTCCCCACGGGCTCCGTTAGTGGCAAAGGAGATGGCTAGGCTAAATGCTAAATGCTAACGACAGACTTGGGCGCATTACATTAAACTCAGATCCAATCGTTTCAATCTGCTAAAGAAGTGAACCCCTCCCACCTGTAAACGGGGCTCAATGGAGCACCTCCAGACCTTAGTACGAAATGTAATTTGTACTATCGTGTGGTACGACCAGACTAATTTGTGATTAGTTAACATGTTTTTTTTCATTTGGAGCAGCTGTAAAAATTACACAGGGCGGCTTTAAGATGAACTCTACTTACTCCAAGAGAGACCTCCGACTCACAAACTGTTTTCCCTGACCATGAGGTGGGCGAAAATGTCTAAAACAAAAAGAAAAGTGAACAAAAACATAACAGGATAGAGTTAGCAGTTACTTTATTCAAACAGGTGTAAAAGGTACCCGAGTTTGTTCCGTTCCTTGTCGGAGAGCGGCGGGGAGAAGACAGCGGACACTGGGGCAGGTTCCAGACTTGTAGATTCATCAATGAGACTGTCCATAAAGTCATTGACATGGCTGTCAAACTGACGCATGAGGTCATTTTTCAAAAACTGAATGACAAAATTATTTAAAAAGTCACAAATTATCCTAAATATTTAAAGGGAAAATTATTTACAGTTACCTCAGCCTTTCTTTTAAGCTCTATTTTTTTGCTTATTACATGTTCAACTTCAATTTTCCCTGTTTGCAAGAAAATAAAAATATAAATTAAACATTAAATTTAAATAAATTAAAAGTTGGTATTGCGGTCCAGCAATTTTGTCGTTGAGTACAGCAACCATTTTTTTATGACACATGTTGTCAAGTCGTTTAATGTTGATTTGAGAAAGACTACACTTAGATACTAGTCACTTTGCTCGCATTAGGGTTTTGGGAATACTTCATACCATTTGTTTTAATGTAGGTTTCTCCATTTTGTAGATGCTCTGTTGGAGGTTCATCATCGTCTATAGAGTGATTGCCGTCAGACAAAAATGGCATTTTAGGAATGGTTTGACAGCGGGACCGTAGAACACAGTCTTCCTTGGAGTCCATCCTAAAACCAAAAGACAAGTGTGATGTACAAACATTAAGACATATACAAGATACACATATATTATATAAAGGCTTATACGAGCATAACATCGAGCCAGGGAAATGAACATCACATGAAGATAAAAATCTCAGTAACGCACAATGCAAACAGTTAAATTGAGCCCGCATGACATGAGCACAAATTATGAACAGGATGTAGTCTGTCACTTCTGCTATGCCTCTTTCTGAAAGCTCATGTTATTCCCCGGACTGGCATATCAAGACACAACACTTGCTTTGATTGCGTTCCTCCACAGTCAACAAGCAGACGGACGTGCGCCTCCGTCCGTCCGTCTGCTTGTTGACGCTGGAGGAACGCTGGTAGCAAACACATCACATACCTGTTGTTTGTCACGCGCTGTTTGGTGGTCCCGACTGGTCCCGGTTGGTCCCCGTTGGTCCCGATTGGTCCCTGTTGGTCCCGATAGGTCCCGGGAGGTCCGAGCAGGTCGTATGTATGTGTGAATATGTGGATGTGTGGATGTGTCCTGAATCCTCCTCCTACACATGAGCACGAGGGTGAGGCGCGCGCGCTGCACACCTCTTCATTGTGGAGTGGGCGAGCACGCGCCTGCCGCTGATTGGCTCCTGAACTCTCCTCCTTTTTACTGACTGCACATTCTCACACGACTATTATCCAACCAAAACACTTGACACATTCAAGCGGCATCGTCATACTAATTATACATTCAAGAAAGCTGTCAACATGTAATTATGTATTTCCAGTGTTGGGTAAGTTACTATCAAACGGAATAGATTGGATAGCTATATTATTGAAATTAGGCAAGGCAAGGCAAGGCAAGTTTATTTGTATAGCACAATTCATACACAAGGCAACTCAAAGTGCTGAACAAGATAGCATTAAAATCATAAATAATCACAGAACATTAAAACGAAAGATAAAAATATAAAATCCCTCAGTTGTATGCACAGCTAAACAGCACCGTTTTTAACTTGGTTTTAAACATTGTCAGAGAGGAGGCCTGTCTCACATCTTCAGGAAGATTGTTCCAGATTTTAAATTACACTACTTAGTTACGATTTTGAGAAAGTAACTTAGTAATATTACAGCAGGACTATATTATTTTATTACAGTTATTACATCTTCTGAAATGAATAAACACCAGGAAAACCTCACTGTAGTTTACTGCCTGCAGCTATCTATGGATTATTCCACTGAGAGCTGCGAATATTTGTTGGTTAAAGCTGGAGTAAGCAACCTCACTTTGAAACCATAAAAAATAACTTTGTAATCAAATTCATAAAACTAGCTCCTAGCTCTCAAAACAACTTGGTACTATACCTTGTTTTTCACAGGCATGCGTTGTCTCAAATTTTGGACGGATAGCTCTATGTGTTTTTAATCATTGCATTTCCTGTGATTGAACTGTTTGATTTTCCGATCTGTGTTGGCAAATCAACAACTTTGTAAAGTCCTCCGAGATTCATTTTGTTGTGATTTAGGGCTATCCAAAAATCCATTTAATTGAAATTAAAATATTGGTGTAGGCATACCTCATCCAATAAAAAACAATCCAAATCAACTTTATTTCAAGAACAATTCAATTAAATCAAATAAAAGTAGTTATTTCGGAGGACTTTACACAACCGTTGAATTTGTCAACACAGATCAGAGAATCAAACAGTTCAAACAACACCAAAAGAGTTACCAAAGAGCTGCGCAGGAGTAAAGGCAGTAAAAATGAAATACACTCAAATAAAAGACAAAATATAACAAATAAAATGCCCAATGGATTATACTGGTTTGATTGTTTTAAAACAATCAAACCAGTATAATAAAAAAGCAGAGAAATTAACAAAACAAAATAGATAAAATAATAATGATAATTATTAAAATAATAATAACAGAGAAAACAGAGGACCTCAAAACTCATGCGATGTTAAAAGCAGAGAATAAATGGTTCTTGAGACGAGACTCAAAACCCTCAAACGAAGGAGTGCTCTGCTCATACGCCTGTGCTGTTGTACTGTAATGTAAACCGTACAGTGGACCCATGCACATCCAGGCCCCTAATTTGGCTCCTGGGCCTTATGTTGAACAGGTCCTATATGATCATAGTCAAGACTCTAGATCCCGGGTGCAGAGCTGCTCTGCCACAACCTCTGAGCCCCCATCTGTTCAGTTACTAGCCTCAGAAGCTAGTCAGATTGAAACTGTGTGTGTTCCTCGCTTGAAGTCTAAAGCACTATATGCGAGGAAATCTGACCTGGGTGTCAGACACAGTAACTTAATAAAAGTTCAGACAGACAGAAATAGTTCTAACAGTAGGGTTGTTAAATGTGGTTTAATGAACGTCAGATCAATCTCGTCTAAATCGCTTCTCATAAACAAACTTATTATAGACAAGGGCTTGGATTTGTTTGCGCTCTCGGAGACTTGGCTCCAACAGGACGACTACGTTAGATTGAATGAGTGCACTCCTCCGACGCATGTTAACTACCAGAAAGCGAGAACTACAGGTCGCGGCGGTGGTGCTGCGATTATATCACACACCAACTTGGTTCTTAGTCCCAAAACCAACAATGCTTTTCACTCGTTTGAAAACTTAACACTTTCAATCACCTGTCCTGGGTGGAGAAAACAAAAAGCGGTGCTATTTATAGTTTTATACCGACCTCCTGGTCCTTACTGCGAGTTCCTAACAGAATTCTCTGACTTAATTTCAAACCTAGTTTTGGAATGGGAAAACATAGTTATAACTGGAGACTTCAATATACATGTGGACGACAGCACTGACAGCTTAAACAAAGCTTTCAGCGCCGTACTAGATGGTGTTGGTTTTACTCAGAATGTTGAGGAACCTACTCACATTCATAACCACACCTTGGACCTTGTCCTGACCTACGGCTGTGATGTCTCCAATGTTGACATCCAGCGTCAAAGCTCGTTGCTGTCTGACCATTTCTTGATCACGTTTGATCTCGATTTGGAGGACTTTCCTGTCCCGCAAGATAAAACCATAATGAAAAGAACCTTAAATGATAAATCTATCACAAGGTTCAAAGAACTAATACAGCCTATGTTGAATACTGCTGCAGGTGAACCTGTTCACAGCAGCTGCAGTCCCTCAGTCATTGACCAAACGGTGGGCAACACTATGGAGTCTTTAAAATCTGCATTAAATGCAGCAGCTCCTTTAAAACAGAAAACTATTAGGATTAGATCATCGTCGCCCTGGTACAGTGTTCAACTCCACACTTTAAAACAGGACGTCAGAAAATTGGAGAGGCTATATCGCCACTCCCACTCGGAGCCTGTCCACAGGGAGTGGAAAGCAGGTCTCCGACACTATAAGAATGCCCTTCGCAGGGCTCGAACTCAATACTATTCAACTTTAATAGAAGCGAATAAAAATAACAGTAGATTTTTGTTTAGCACCGTCGCTAAACTCACAAACTGCCATAGCGCAATCGAGCCTAAAATTCCAAGCTCACAGTGTCGACTTTCTCCACTTCTTTAATAATAAAATGACATCCATCCGTGACAAACTGGAGGAGGTTACTCCTGCTGTTGGTAGTGGACAAGCTGAAGCGGCATATGTGACTTCCCACTTACGTATGCCGCTAAGTGGCGGCACGGTGGCTGAGTGGATAGCACTCTTGCCTCTCAGCAAGAAGGTCCTGGGTTCGAATCCCGGTTGGACCAGGGCCTTTCTGAGTGGAGTTTGCATGTTCTCCCCGTGTCTGCGTGGGTTTCCTCCGGGTACTCCGGTTTCCCCTACCGCAAAAAATATGTACAATCTGGCATGTGCCTCCTGTACTGGTGACCCAGCTCCCATCTCTGTGTGGAGTGAGTGGACAAATGCCCAAAAATTAACAATTGTAAACCGCTTTGAGACTCAGATCTGCAGTGAAAAGGCGGTATATAAATGATTACTTACTTACTTACTTACTTACTTAGACTCTTCAGTGGGCCTCGATAAATTCATGGCTGTGAGCCAAGCAGAGGTGATCTCTGTGGTCACATCCTCAAAAGCATCAACTTGCATAAAGGACCTTAAAATGTGGATGACTCTTAACTTCCTACTTCTCAACCCGGAGAAGACAGAAGTGATCCTACTCGGTCCGAAGCGCCTGCGTGACTCCCTCACTAACCAGATGGTTACTCTCGATAATGTCAGTATAATACCCAGTAACACTGTGAGGAATCTTGGAGTCATTTTTGACCAAGAACTCTCCTTCAAGGCTTATATAAGCCAAGCAACTAAAACGGCGTACTTCCACTTACGGAACATCGCTAAAATTAGGAATTTCCTTCCTAAAAGTGACGCGGAAAAACTCATTCACGCGTTTGTCACCTCAAGGCTCGACTACTGTAACGCTTTACTGGCAGCGTGCCCTAAAGCCTCTTTGAAGAGCTTCCAGCTCGTTCAGAATACAGCAGCTAGGATCTTAACAGGTACCAAAAGGAGGGAGCACATAACTCCGGTGTTAAAATCACTCCACTGGCTCCCTGTGGAGTACAGAATAAAGTTTAAAATCCTACTCTTAACATATAAAGCCATAAATGGCTTGGCTCCTTCTTATCTCCAAGACACGTTAGTGTCGTATCAACCAGGTCGAGCGTTGCGCTCACAAAACGCCAGACGTCTGGTGGTCCCTAAGGTCTCAAAGGTCACTGTTGGTGGCAGAGCATTTAGCTACCAAGCTCCTTTACTGTGGAATCAGCTTCCCATTTATGTTAAGGAAGCAGATACGGTCTCCACATTCAAGGCCAGGCTTAAAGCACTTTACTTTAATTTAGCATATAATTAGGTAATATATAATATGTAGTGTATATATTATATATATATGCTGTATTATGTTATATATTATGTTATATATTATTCAATAATGTATTGTGTTATGTTGTATATTATGTTATATATTATGCTGTATGTTATTCTTTATTCAAGGCTAGGTTTAAAACAGTCCTCTTTAGTTTAGCATATGGCTAGGAAGGTAAGACTCGGAGAAGGTTAAACTCCTCAGAGTGTTAGTCAAGCTGCATAGGGAGTCAGTTTGCTGGGAGAAGTATGGTAACTTGAGCACTATCCTCTCCTCCTTCCTACTTTATCTGTTTAGCATTTTTAGGATTCTGACTGTAGTTTGTTCATTGCTATTCACCCGTTGTCCCATTGTCTGTTTCATGGTACTCGGGATCCTGAGCCTTTTCAGCGGATACGCTCTTCTTGCACCGGACCTGTCCACGTTTCAACTGGTCTAGCTAGGTTTCATTAAAACAGTCCTCCCTGTGGGTTTCCCTAGTTTAAGGTTTAAGCATACGCTCTCTTAAATCAAGGTAGGAAGGTAAGAAGGTAAGAACTCAGGGAAGGCTAAAACTCCTCAGACTGTCAGTCTAGCTGCATAGGGAGTCAGTTTTGCTGGGAGCAGTATGGTAACTCTGAGCACTATCACTCTCCTCCTTCCTACTTTATCGGTTTACGCGCATTTTTAGGATTTTGACTGTAGTTTTGTTCATTGCAATTCACAAACCGTTTCCCATTGTCTGTTATCATGGTACCGATGACGGCTCTCTGAGCCTGGCCTCCGCATCTACGCCTGCGGACGCCCCCGCCCGATCGCCCCTGGTAGTGCTTCAGTCCTCACCGGACCTGTCCACGTTCAGCGGCCACAGGGTCCACGGTCTTGCGTTCTGTACGCTAGCTTAGGTCCTAGATCATTAGCCTGCCGTCCGGAGGAGACGGATCCCTATCTCATATGGGTCTCCCTCCCTGTGAGTGTTCCCTAGTTCTCTTACCCAATGTTTCTCACTTTTCCCACTGGTTTTTTAAGAGTTTTTCCTTGTCGATGCAGGAGGGTCTTGTTTAAGACAGTTAGTGTACCAACAGAAAGGATTGGTGATGATCCAATAGAAACTTTACATTCTACAAACATGTATGGACATTTTCTTTCTTGTGGGTGCTTTATATTTTTCATGTGTTTTAAAAACTGTTTTATCATCTCTCTACCTTGTGGTGATATTCCATCAATGTTTGTTAGAATCCTCTGAGATGACTTCTGTTGTGACCTAGGGCTATACAAGAATAAATTGTATTGTATTGTGTGTATCGTATTGTAGAATGTTAAAGTGTCCTGAATCATCACCACAGTCCTTTTTTTTGTTGGAACACTAACTGTACAATCAGACCTCTCCTTGCAATCGGAAAGGAAAACCGTCAACAACAAAAAAACAGTTTTGAAAAAAGTGAGTAACCTCGGGGAGTATCCACATTGAGAGAGGGATCTGCTCCACACGGATGGACGGGCTGTAGATCCAAGACCTAAGCTACAGAACGTGGACCAGGGCCAAGCAGTGGCCGGAGAACAAGGACAGGTCCCAGGTGGGTCAGGCAGGGCAGTCCGCAGGTGTAGATGAAGAGGCCAGGTTTCAGAGATCCCGTCGTCGCATCATGAAACGACAATGGGACAACGGTAATAGCAATGAACAGATTACAGTCAAAATCCTAATAAAATTGGCAAAGACAGATAAAGTAGGAAGGAGGAGAAAATAGAGGTGCTCAAGTTACCACAACACTTTTTCCACACTTGAATGGTAGACAACAGTATCTGCTTCCTTAACACATAAATGGAAGCTGATTCCACAGTAAAGGAGCTTGGGAGATAAATGCCTCTGCCAAGCCAAACCCAGTGATTTTGAGACTTTAGGAACCACCAGACGTCTGGTGTTTAGCGAGACACCAGTGCACAAAGTTTGGTTGATATGACTCAAACCATGTCCTAGAAGATAAGAAGGAAGCCAAGCCTTTTTTGGCTTTGTATGTTAAAAGAAGAGTTTTAAACTTTAATTCTGTACTAATCCACAGGGAGCCAGTTAGTGATTTTAACATCAGAGTTATTTGCTCCCTTCTTTTTGGTACCTGTTAAGGTCCTTGCTGCTGTATTCTGAACGAGCTGGACGACTTCAAAGAGGCTTTAGGGCATGCTGGCCAGCAAAGTGTTACAGTAGTCAAGTCTTGAGGTGACAAAAAGCGTGGATCAGTTTTTCTGTGTCAC